CTTCACAACAAATACACTTTTATGAATGGCTAGTTGGGGATGAATTTGTAAATTAGCTTTGCGCAAATGTGTACCATAATGAATAGACTCCAAATATTTAATAGAACCACAAATAGTCAAGAGTATCCTTCAAAAACAAACTGATATTATTATTGTGTATGAAAAAATTATTTGCTCTGATTTCTGAGACACACCTTACAAAAGATTTGTAAATTCTGAGGCTATCATCTACTACACTACTTACAATAGATCTAGAATAAAATACATATTAAAATGTTTACATAATTACATATGCCAACAATAAGTTGCAACCTTAAGGTACATTTACATCTGACATTTATTGCATGAGATTTATGTCTGACAGTTGTTTAGTCCAGTGTAAACACACAAAAATTTCTCTCGGACATATATTTTTGAGTGTTTACACTGAACTAAACAACTGACAGACATAAATATCATGCAATAAATTTCAGATGTAAACGTACCTTAAGATGACTTGAGGGACAATATCCACCCTGTTGACATACCTATCTAGAAAAATCGTAATTATTTAGTTTTTGTTAAATCATATTATTTAGTGTAAAAATCATAAATTATATTTTATTTAAACAGTTTTTTATAGTAAAGAGTGATCCACAAAAAATGTTTCTAAAGTAGGCCATGGCGACAAAGGCAGAGATGCGAGTCATGTTCGTGATAACTACACGCGGCTCTGAATTAAATTCAAACTAACATTAAACGTGATTTAACCTTACGTTAGATGCGAGAAGTACAGATGTAGGCCAGGCATTTTTGTGATATTCTATCTTGTAGATAAAGCTGTTTGCGCTTGCGCCGCTTTCAGTAGCTCCTATTTGATCAATAACAAACAGTTCTAAATCACAGTGGCGCCTCACTAGATCTTTTTCTATAAATTATTTTATATTTCTTAGTTTGGGCGCCTATCTATGTACGACTGTTATTTTATACTGAGGCAATTTTAAATTTTGCATTTATTATATGTATATTTTGATATTGAGTTGCTCAGTTTCTCCTTGAGAGCTCTGTAAGACATTTTTCAACTCAAAAATTCGACGACACCCTTACCCCCTCCAATGCAAAATATTGTTAGACGTTACTTATTTTGCGATAGAGAGTCAAATTCACTCAAAAATTCTGCAAAACGTGTTACCGATTTACATGCAAAAACCTTGTAAACGTGATAATTCGCTCATTTATGACAAGAATGACATTATTTAAAAAGTTGTAGTTTTGGGAAATCGCGATTAAATGTTTTATCAGGTTATTAACACGTTTTGAGTACTGATATACGGTTCCTTACAACAGATCGATGATGAAGATATATATTTAGATAGAAGAATCTTATACAGTATTTTTTTGGATAGCTTTTTGACATAATTTTACCTTGAAAAAACTAAATTTGTTTAAGTTATGTCGCTCTTTCTGAAAAATCTAAAACTGACATGGCTAATATTAGTAAATTTGTCGTTATTACTGATGAAATATTCTATTTAGGCAAGTCAGTGTTTCGTATTATGCTAATCTTACTGTATAAATAAAATGTGAATGAAGTATTATTTGGTAAATGGAAAATAATAACGTGGTTCATAAAATTATTGTCATTGACAAACTTAATATTCCTTATATTTTGTGTATAACTTCATAACAGATCTAAATATGACACATCTAGCAACATAATATAGTAAAATAGAAAATAACATAAATTCTGAAATACGAGTATCTAACATCTCAAACCAAAGATAAGAGTGACAAAAACCTATAGTGAATTATAGAATGACACATAATATTTCAGTATAGCATTTTTATTAAATGAGTCTAATAGCAGGTATTAATATCTGTAGCTAAGCGAGACCGTGCCCAGTTAGTACTTGGATAAGCGACTGTCTTAAGGAAAGTCAGCGTATCCTTAGAGCCCATACAAACTGCCAATGTAGTTGCATACCACAATTGGCAGGCAGTATATTAGTTAATACGAGGTACAACTTGAGGTGTGCTATCTTTCGGAGGAGATGTAAAGCCGTCAATCCCCAGCAAGATACCAAGTTTAGTGTTTATAACTTGTGTGAAGTTAGCGCCCGGCGCTGGCGCCCAAACTCAGCGCTCTATCCCCTCCTCCTAACCAAGTTCACACAACTACAATTATTAATACTTCTTAAAAATACATTATTATTGCATTTATTTATTATGTTTGTAAATTTATAGAAAAGTAATGTTTATGATTCGATTTTTGATTAAACGGTGTGGTTTGTAAAGTTTCTATTAGAAAGAGGAATATTTCAAAATTTGCCGTATGACAGCGAATAATGGAAAAAAAGGTACCCTTTAAGATCTGGGTTTACCAAAAAATTAAATGTCTAAAACCACTGGCGTCTTCTCAAAAAAAAAAACCTTTATAAAAAGAGGATTACTTAAAAAAAAACAAGAGGAGTGACAGATTACGACGACTAGATATATTAATTATTTCGTAAGGTCTCATGCAGTAAAAGTTTAAATTTTTTAAACCCCTGGCGTCTTATAGAAAAACCACCCTTTATAAAATAATATTATTTTTTTTTTTTTAAAAACTCTGTGGCATGATAGATTACGATTAGTGATTATAAGAACTTTATGAGGTCAACTTACAGTAAAAAACTCAATGGATAAAACCCCTGGCGTCTTATAGAAAAACCATCTCTTATGAAATAATATTAATTTTTTTTTTTTTGAAAAACCATGAGACATGACAGATTACGATTAGTGGATATAAAAAAAAACTTATAAGGTTTCCTTACAGTAAAAAACTCAATATCCTAAACCCCTGGCGTCTTATAGAAAAACCACCCTTTATAAAAAATTTAAATTATTTTTTTTTTAAAAAACTATGTCTCGTGACAGATTACGATTAGTGGATGTAAGAAGAACCATATAAGGTCACTTTACAGTAAAAAAAACCAAATGTCCTAAACCCCTGGCGTCTTATAGAAAAACCACCATTTATAAAAATATAAATTATTTTTTTTTTGAAAAAACTATGTCTCGTGACAGATTACGATTAGTGGATATAAGAAGAACCATATAAGGTCACTTTACAGTAAAAAACTGAATGTCCTAAACCCCTGGCGTCTTATAGAAAAACCATCCCTTATGAAAAAATATTAATTTTTTTTTTTTTGAAAAACCCTGAGACATGACAGATTACGATTAGTGGATATAAAAAAAAACCTATGAGGTTTCCTTACAGTAAAAAACTCAATGTCCTAAACCCCTGGCGTCTTATAGGAAAACCACCCTTTATAAAAATAAAAATTATTTTTTTTTTTTAAATCTATGTCTCGTGACAGATTACGATTAGTGGATGTAAGAAGAACCATATAAGGTCACTTTACAGTAAAAAACCGAATGTCCTAAACCCCTGGCGTCTTATAGAAAAACCACCCTTTACAAAAATATAAATTATTTTTTTTTTTTAAATCTATGTCTCGTGACAGATTACGATTAGTGGATGTAAGAAGAACCATATAAGGTCACTTTACAGTAAAAAACCGAATGTCCTAAACCCCTGGCGTCTTATAGAAAAACCACCCTTTATAAAAATATAAATTATTTTTTTTTTTTTAAAACTATGTCTCGTGACAGATTACGATTAATGGATGTAAGAAGAACCATATAAGGTCACTTTACAGTAAAAAACCGAATGTCCTTAACCCCTGGCGTCTTATAGAAAAACCACCCTTTATAAAAATATAAGTTTTTTTTTTTTTTGAAAAAACTATGTCTCGTGATAGATTACGATTAGTGGATGTAAGAAGAACCATATAAGGTCACTTTACAGTAAAAAACCGAATGTCCTAAACCCCTGGCGTCTTATAGAAAAACCACCCTTTAAAAAAATATGAATTATTTTTTTTTTTTTAAAACTATGTCTCGTGACAGATTACGATTAATGGATGTAATAAGAACCATATAAGGTCACTTTACAGTAAAAAACCGAATGTCCTTAACCCCTGGCGTCTTATAGAAAAACCACCCTTTATAAAAATATTAGTTTTTTTTTTTTTTTTTGAAAAAACTATGTCTCGTGATAGATTACGATTAGTGGATGTAAGAAGAACCATATAAGGTCACTTTACAGTAAAAAAACCGAATGTCCTAAACCCCTGGCGTCTTATAGAAAAACCACCCTTTAAAAAAATATGAATTATTTTTTTTTTTTAAAATACTATGTCTCGTGACAGATTACGATTAGTGGATGTAAGAAGAACCATATAAGGTCACTTTACAGTAAAAAACTAAATGTACTAAACCCCTGGCGTCTTAAAGAAAAACCACCATTTACAATAATAAAAATTATTTTTTTTTTAAAAAACTGTGTCTCGTGACAGATTACGATTAGTGCATGTAAGAAGGTCCTTATAAGGTCACCTTACAGTAAAAAACTGAATGTCCCAAACCCCTGGCGTCTTATAGAAAAACCAAACTTTATAAAAATATAAATTATTTAAACTTTTACTGCATGAGACCTTACGAAATAATTAATGTATCTAGTCGTCGTTATCTGTCACTCCTCTTGTTTTTTTTAAGTAATCCTCTTTTTATAAAGGGTGTTTTTTTTGAGAAGACGTCAGTGGTTTTAGACATAATTTTTTGGTAAACCCAGATCTTAAAGGGTACCTTTTTTCCATTATTCGCTGTCATACGGCAAATTTTGAAATATACCTCTTTCTAATAGAAACTTTACAAACCACCGTTTAATCAAAAATCGAATCATAAACATTACTTTCCTATAAATTTACAAACATAATAAATAAATGCAATAATAATGTATTTTTAAGAACTATTAATAATTTTAGTTGTGTGAACTTGGTTAGGAGGAGGGGGTAGAGCGCTGAGTTTGGGCGCCAGCGCCGGGCGCTAACTTCACACAAGTAAGTTTATAGATGTACTAGTGATGTCCCAATTATTGCTGTTGGTATTACTACGACTAGTAGAACAACTAGAACTATTTTTGACTTCTAGAAGCACGATTCTGATTGGACCTCCAGTGTTTCTCTATTTCATTATTGCCTCGTGGCAGTACATTTAGCAAAGATGAATCTGCATCTACAGAAAGTAAAAGATGAAAAATATTTACTATAGGTACTAGAATTATTATTTATTTTATATTCTAAACTGGATTGAGACTGACTGGCACTGCTTGCACATTGCCTACAAAAATACGAAATTAGAAAACTTAGTCGATAAAAATAATTCAGTATTTTTTTAAAAAAATGACATCAAAATGCGTTTAGCTAATTTGTATTATCATCAAGAATGTCATAATAAGTAATAATGTTTAATTTTAATGCATACCATGTTTAGGTGTAATAATAATATTGACATAATACCAAATATTATGATTATAGTAAGTAAAGTTTCTACTGCAATACCGTCATAATTGCAAATATTTCGAAACATCGATTTTTGTTTTGCAAGAATAATGTCATATTTCAAATTATAAAACATTATAATTTTAGACATTTTCAAGAACGTCATAACAGGAAATAAGTCATTACAGATGAAACAATTTAATTTGAAATATACTTTACCTTTTTAAGATAAACGTTTAATTACAACTTATGTCGTTCTTAAAATAAACGATAACTGTACGAAGAATTGCTAAAAATGTTTGAACATCCTTTATCCGCACAATACGTCACAAAACTCATATTATTAAAAACCACAACGATAACTTCGAATAAACCCCCGTTTAAGGCCGATGTGCTCACATCAAACGTTAAATTTAAAATAATCTCTATACTATAGGCTGGCAATAGGCTAGGAAATTTGTGCAGAGAAATTGTTTGTCTGAAAATATTCGAACGCTGGTATACCTATGCTGTGGCAGTGCATTATGTATAATAATAATTAACATTAATGGTTCTGTGATCGCACAGTGCGCGCACGCTCAATGGTTCCAAACTTGTTCATAATAAGGATTAACGTAAGCGACATTTGTTCAAATGGCACTTACGATAGTCTGGCAAAAAGGTATCTATATTTATCTTGTATATATTTATTAAAATACTTACCTGAAAGCTTTTTCTAATATCCGCCAATACTTGGTGCATTTCGAAAGTTTCCTCGCAAATACTTTGAATGCTTTTATCTTCATTGCTCAGACCGATGCTGTTTAAAATGTTTGATCTATTTGAAACTTGTAAATAATTATTGTTTTCAATCCGCGATTCATCTTTATTTGTGCTGTTACTGGACAAACTATTATCTGAAATTTTTATATAAATATATTGACTTTGATAAATTATTTTTTTGACAATAAATTAACAACTGAATGCAAAATCCAAAAGATTTATGAAGGTGGATCCTTATGCTTTGTCCCTGACCCATTTCTAAGTAGCGGCTTTATTAATGTTTTTAACAGTTAGTTATTAACTGACTTTTGTAAATCATATCTTCAAAATATCAACTTTGTACCTCAAAGCATTGAATTGTTTAACTGCGTCGTGATTGCTCATATAAAATAGATCCTGCAGAACAAAGAGCCATAATAAAATATCTTCAGAAAAAAGCATGACGCCAACTAAAATTCATGAAGACATTGTGGCATCTATTGGGTAGATTGCAGTTTCTTATGATATTATCAAACGCTGGTATCGAGATTTGAAATGAGGAAGAACATCCTGTGAAAACCAGTATGCTGATACGCCTCCCATAACGGTAACAACAGAAAAAACAAACATTTAAAAGGTACACGATATCGTCTTGCAGACCAACTAGTACGCATCAGGAATATTGTGGAAGATACTGGCTTATAATATCATGTGGTGCACCACATACTGAAAAAATAATTAGATATGAAAAAGATGAGTGTAAGACGGGATCCCCGAATGTCAACCATTGATCAAAAAATAAATCGGGTGTTGACTTGAGAGCGATTTTTGGAACCATTCATAATTTCAACCGCTTCTTTTTTACGCCTCTCTTCTTTTCCCTTTTCATCATCCATCCTGAGTCTTTCCTTCTCCTCCTCTTCTTCCTTCCTACGACTTTTCTTTTCCTCCTCTTCTTCCTTCCTACGCCTTTCCTTTTCCTCTTGGTTTCAACCAATCTCTGACAGCTGTAATTTTCTCCGGGTCAGTTTTAATTCCTTCTTAGCTTTTCCTAAGGTCTTACTGAAATAAGCAATTACTTTCTCTTCCCCCAAGATAATTTTATCATCGACCTTCAAAATAAGACTCAACCGATAAAAGTCCTAGTGGCAGAAGACATAGAAGTACCACAAAATGCTGAAGCTGTTGTCTCGGCTAGGCTTAGCGAGAAATCACACGGCTTACGTGTAGGCATTGTGAAAAGTGAAGAATTTGTCAGTAACGGAATCCTGGTAGCTAGATGTCTCATTAACGTTGATCAACCAATTCCAGTAAGGGTTGCCAATTTATCAAAGAGACCATTCAAACTAAAGGAAGGACAAGAAATAGGGATCTGTACACCGGTGGAAAACATAACCAAGAGAGAAGACCGTTCCACGGGGAAAGCCACCACAAGTAACTTAGTTTACGCAGCTTTGTAAAACAGCTAGTCTAAAAGTATGTACCACCTGACAGCTGAACAAAAGTCAAAGAATTTATCAATTAGGCATTCCAACGACCTGTCCAAATGGCTACCAGTGGATAATGACAGTTTAGATATGGCAACCCTGTTGTCATGTTGTCATTAACAGGGTCAATGATACATATATAGTTATATAGATTGCTCAAAGCTGGTCGTTTACGAGCGGCCATATTGCCTGGCAAATATTTATTAATTTGAATCGGTTTAGAAAAAATGTGTTTTAAAACTAATTTTTAGCCTTTAGACACTAAAAAAAAATAATTGCTTACATTTTTACTTCAAGGCATAAGCTTATGTTTATTTTGAAAAATATGGATGATCAATAACTATCTATTTCATTGACCTTGTCAAATCACCAGGCCTACAGGGTTGCCATAATTTTGCTATATCATAACCCGTCAAAGCCCACTGGTAGCCATTCAGTTTGGAATGCCTAATACCAACTATGACATTTTCAGATATTTCTGGATTATTATATCTGGACTTTTACTTATGGCGACCGCGTGTATGAGTAACATTCCACTTCTTTTTCTATCTGTACGTTTCCTATGATAGCCGCAGGCTACTGCAGAGTGCTGCGTAACAGTATAGTTTGGCATTAAAATTAATCAGAACTAGATTTTTTTAAATGAATCAATGAAATTGAGTGCAAAGTTAACCAATTGAATAATTGAAATATGGAACCATAATTAAAATAAAGTTACCTAATAAATGAAAGAGCTATGAAAATTAATAAGCAATATGTATTTACTTGTATTGTCCATTGCAGAAACATTACGGTTGTAACAACTAGTCCAAAAGACCACTGCTGTCACCAAATGTAACAGCCAACTAGTCCAAAGATCCAATGTATTAATTGATAGGTCTTTAAATACTGTTATTAAGATACTATTAATGGATGAAGGCAGCACTATCACCACGCCAAAGAGTACTGGAATCCGGAAAGAATATCCTTTCACCAGTGACATAATAAAAATAAAAAAACATAATCTCCTAATAGTATAATCAAGAGGTATTAGCAACTGGTTAAAGGCTCTTCTAGTCTTTAAGAGTAAAAACTCAGAATAACTGGTTTTGGAAAGGGGAGGAGAGAAAATAATATGAGAATGTACAGTAATATTATGTATATTTAAAATAATTACATAATAATAAATAGTCTAGAGAATAAATAATCAATTCATATTAAGCGAATAAAAAAAGGACACATACGACTTATGTACTATTTGATAATATGTCCAAACTTTTGATATAGACCAAAAATATTAATAATAAACAACCTATGATTATTGACAGCTGGATAACTTCCTATTGGGTAATATGATTTGGACCAATTCACAAATCATATCATTGAATAATTAAACTATATATTATTATAATAAATATAATAAATATAGGATATACAAAATTGGGACTAAAATGGCAAAATTGGCATTTATATGGAAATTAAATTAAGTGTCTCAAAACAAAACCAAGCAACACTTTTAAAACAACATATTTAAATAATTAAAGATAATTGGCATACAAAATCGCTGCACAAAATTTGACTTTACACATAAAGGTGTTGCAGGATCTATTATAGTGTTCAAGCATAGAGTTCAAGTTCAAGAGTTCAGTGTTCAAGCATAGAGTTCAAGCAACATCTCTTAACTAAATCTAACTTTTCGGCAAGAGTTTTGGACAACAGCCCTTACTTGAGTCTCCTCTATCAATTATCGGCAGTCTATTTAAACCAAAATTTACGTTAAAGGTGAACTATTATCAAAGCATTACCTTGTGTAAGATATTATTTCAATGTAAGCCACTAACTAGAGTAATAATCTAATTGTTTAATTCATTTCAATAGGTGTGTTTTCTATTTGAGTATATATTTAGTTAAAACATTTAATATTTTTTCTAATTTTTGTGTAATTCTTTATATTTTACTAATAATAGGGCCAATTATTACCCCTGTTAAATGGATCATGAATTCATGCATACCTATCGAAATTGTAAATTTAAAGGTATTTCTTAAACCAGATAATTAGCTATGATAAGTGCCCTTCAAACATGGTTGTCATATATAGAGAAAGATCATTTAACCTAATTTTTTTTCACTGATATTTTTTCCGTTGACGTATGTTGTATTCTCCGACTAACTGGGTTATTGGACAAAGAAACTTTCAAAAGCAGCTTTTCAGTAGACTCATCAACCATGATTTTTACCATATCTACAGCACAAGTGAGAATAAGTTCCTCTGCGATGGTATATGAGGCTTCTTAAATTTCGCGATTCAGTAACTCACCGTATAAGATGCTTGCAAAGCGTTAGTTCGTATTCACGCAGTCATAATAAATGTAATATTGTTGCTTCAGTCTTTTAACTTCTTGACAAAAAAATGATGAGATTTGCAAAAATTTTGTGGTAATAAGTTTCAAAATGACACATCAATTTACTTGGAAGCATACACTTCGCTGACATAATTTTTGCACACATTACACATTGTGGTCTCTCTTCACTATTCATTTTTCCAAAAAATCATCCATATACATATTTACTATATTTTTAACTTTTTATAATGGGGGATGTTCAAAAATTTTGAAATTTTTTTTATGAATAGTAGAGTTAAAAATAAAACTACATTTTTTTTATTTTTTTTTTTATCTATTCATTTGCCGGAGTTATGAATTTTTTAAAAATTTATGACGTCACCGGGAATAGACCAATAGGAGCTAGCGCACAACGTTGCCGGCTAGAAGGTTTACGAGAAGTGATGTACGTTCGTTTGTGTACTCCTTCTTACTTTTAGACTTCTAAAACATCGTTAAACAAATATCTTTTAAATATATAATATCAAATGTGTTTTGAAAGTATTATTTCTGTTTAAACTTTTACCATATTTAACGTTTCATTGTTTTCAAAGTCACTTAATAATTCAGAAAATGGCAAAATGGCAGCACTGTGTATGGCAGCACTGTGTATGGCATCTGTCATCATAGTGTCTCGATCAAGAATTTATTTGGAATTTGAGTGTTTAATTTTGTACTTTTTATAAATATTATGACTACGAAAAAGTGTTTTGTTCCAGAATGTGATAATGATTCACATTCATTTTCAAAAATATTTATTAGTGTTCCTAGAAATTTGGAAAGAAGAAAATCAACCTTCTACTAGCGATGTTTCTCGTAAACTTTTTAATAAAAATACACCGGATTATCAAGATATAGCAGCAATTTCTGCTAATTGTCCCCTTCAGGAAATTGAAAATTAGGCTACTATAAATTCTTAGGTGAATAACCTAAAAACCCTTCTGGAAGAAAATGCAGAATCTCCTGAAAGTTTTGAAGATACCGAATTTATTCTTCATTTTGTGGAAGAACTAGTGATAAAGAAATAATAGAAAAATGTGGGTATTTAAACAAACTGGTTCCTGGATCCCATATAATGGCAGATAGGGGTTTCAGAATATTCAGCTACTTGAAAACATGGGATGCACTTTAGTAAAGCCACACCTAGTGTATCACAGAATGAAAAAAGTTCTCCAGAAGATGTACAATTAAGTAAAAGAATCGAGAAAAGAATAGCATCTCTAAGAATACATGTGGAAAGAGTTAGTTAATTTAATTTAACATGTTAAAACCACATTCGTGTGTGAATTTTAAGCAAGTACATTTACT